ATTACTGAAGCAGTATCCTTACCTCACCCCCACGCCGTCCAGAACCATAGTAACCTCCTGCACAAAATGACTAGTTAAAGAATAGTTGTGGACAAATAATTCTTTGAAGGATGAGAGGGTCATTCCATACCTATTATAAGAACATCTAAATCAGAACCAGCTCGAATGTAATCAGGCTTTAACTTTAGCCATTTTCCACTTCGATCACTCGGCTCCCACTTGGATCCAAGATCTTTCAGAACAATTCCTTCATCTCTGAAATTCATTTACGGATAAGAAGCCAGATATTGCAAAAAAAATAAAAAAAAATAAAAAAAAAAAATCTTCAAGATAATTATCCGACTACAACCTTCAGTAATCATACATGCAAATGTAAGACACATGGTAAAAAAAATCAAATTATTTTCCACCATCCCCCATTCAGATGCTTTATAATTAATAACTTAATACAAACTTGCTTTGATTGGCCTTTTCTGTATTCCTCTACGTCCCCACCAACAGACTTTCCTCATTCTTCTCTTACCTTTTTCAGGTGATAGCTAGCTCGCTGGTTACATTTCTCTCATTTCATTAACATAGAAGTAAGAAAACACGCTAAGGATATTGTAGAGTAAACTAACAGACAAAAAGGTAGGTCCCAGGATATTGAATTGAAGTATCCTCCACCAAAAGATCATACATAAGAACACCAAAATGCTATGGAAAATCATGTCTAACATTGATGTTCATGTATATCATGCACAAAAATACCAAAGAAAACGACTTAAATGATGCATAGTGAAACTGCTGACCTGTTCTCGATGGTTTCTTTAAAGAATCTCTCGACGCTATCAACATCATAAACAACTAGAGACCAACATGGCTCCCCTGTATCATGTTTGCAGTTAAAAAATCAGCGGAGCAAATAAGAACACAAGTGATTGTTGTTTAAAAAAAAAAAAAAGAATAAGTATTTCCTTGAAACCTTTGCCTATTACTACAAAGAAATATAAATAAAAAACTGCAAAATAGCAGCTCCATTAACCAGCAGGACGATGTGCATTAAGACCCCCATTTGGAACCAAAATCTCCAAACGACCAGAAACTGGTCTGACAATTTTCCTGAGAAGTTGATGTCTCTCCTTCAAGCTCTGGTGAATGACACTCGTATCTCCAACATAAAGAATGTCAAATGCAACATCTAGCCATAGGTCAAGGCTTACTTACAGTAACACCAAAGGAAGTCCAAGAATTCGTCATGAATCTTGCTTGCGGATCTTAAATATGGACAAGACTCAATAAACCAGATCTAGGTCTGTACAGCTCAAACCTTAAGGATACAACATAACTGCACCAGAGAAGGTCAAAACTTAGAGATGGTTTGGGGTTTCCAGCCAGACAATGATTCATCTCATAACTCATATGCAAAAAGATACCTGTCTGTCGCTATCAAGCCCATCCTTTGCAGACTTGGCTATAAAGATGGATAGGAAATTATGCAAAAGGGTGAGTACAATTCTAGACAGAAATTAACAGATAGCAGAAAGCATAAAAACAAAGAGAATATCAGAACCTATTTCTTGGTTTGAACCAAACTCTGCAAATCTATTCGCAGATCTGTCCCAGACCAACATCTCACCATCAAGAATGCACCTGCAATAAAGGTGGTAACTAGTTAAACTATCTAATATTATCGATCTATCCAATGAAAAGGACATTATCAAGAGCATGATTGACTTTTGGATACAGGATACTATAAAAACTGGAAGTCCATACACCTGCTGAGGCTAATGTAACAGGAATATGCTGAATAAATTACTATGTCAGAGAAATCCAGACAAAATAATTGTGGTTTCTTAACCAGTTAACATTCATGAAGGACATGTTTGAGTGAGATAAGATAAGACGATACTCAAATTTTCATACTCGGGAAAGGAAAAAATGTTCATTCCATTGCACTGTAGCATTCATATAATATTAAATATTCTGTTCACGCCCCAAGATGGATCTGCAGTTTCAGACTTTGCGTATCATAACATTGATCAAACAATTCAAAACACACATATTTTCACCCTTTTCCTGGATTTCCATCCAGATACAAGATTTTCTTTTCCTTTTTCGTTCTTTATTTGCGGAGAAAATCAAGCAATTTCCGCATCAAGAGGGCAATAAAGTGTAACAACCTACAGGTATTAACCAAAACAAACCATTTAAATCTCACACAACTTCAAGGTCACCAAGCAATACAATCACATGATAATTGACAGATATCATTAAATTATAAGATCAACTGCCTCTTCAATAAATATTCACCTGTCAGCCAAAATGTTCTCTCTTATAACGTCTGACATGCCATGTTCATATTCAGGATGACCAAGAAAATTCCTGTGCAAAATAACACAATAATCAATTCAGGCATGCAAAACGGCTGCTGGATTTATGGTGCCTATGAAATGACAATTACAAAGTGAAGTGCACTGAGCATGTGTCACTGGTATCAGCCTTTCGATCGGCCTGGAGAAAAAATTGTAGAATTCTATATGCCTTCTATTTTGTTCCTAAACATTTAGATGACAAACAGTGTACAGTTTTACTTGAAACTACCAACATTCTACGTAAAAACATTTTTACGACAGTATCAGGACCATGGAGTGCGTAGAGCTTATTACTATGAAGTTAACGAAAACGGTTCAGCACCAAAACATTGGCAGCCAACTCGAGTTGGTTACACAATTAAATATCTTCTATATTTGAAGGAAATTATCACTATTTCAGATGGCTGTATAAAATTCCACAAAAGAACATATCAACAATTACCAGAAAGGAAGCATCAATTAAAAAAGACAAATACCTTGAGAAAAAGTTTATCTCTGCTCCATTTTTGTGGATTTGGATGCGATCACCATCAAATTTGCACTCGACAACAACTTCCTTTCCGTGAAGCTATTAGGTTGGAAAGAAATACATACCACAAGTAACACGTAATGAAACTAAATAACAAAATAAAACAAGGATAAAAGAGGGAAAAAAAGATTGCAAAACTCCAAAGCTGAACTTAATGAATAACCCTAATTTCTTTGTTTCTTTTACTAGTTACTAGGATTGCTTTTCTTATTCGCTGAAACTGCAAATGTGAACCTTTTTCCATGCAGCAGCTGCATTGCTGACCCTCAGTGCTAGTTGGGGCCGAACAGGTTTGCCAACTTCGATGTCCTGCAGAATTATAGTAACCATTACTTCCATCAAGACTATATTCATGAAATGAAATAATTAAAAGTTCAAAGTTCAAAACACAGTGTTGAAGAAAACAGAATACAGTATGAATCATCTACGTGAAGAGATCTATTCGTGAATTTTGAAGGAATGGATGAGGTGATATTGATTGCTAAGAACAAATTAAAAGTTCCAAACAGAAAAAGAAAATACACATGGACACACACATATCAGAATACACCTTTCATATTTAAGTTTTAACACCACTAAAGAGACGAGAAACAACTTATCCTAACAAGTTTATTAGTATATCCACAGCTCAGTGGCTCATTTTAACGATAGTAACAATAACACGAAACCTTCAAGTAAAGCAAAAATAAATCCGCATTACAACAGAGAGTCCCAGTATAAGTTGAGCAAATACTCAGACTGTGTAGAATGAAGGACTTATGCTCCATTGCCCATCTTCAAACATTAATCCCGCTCTTTGAGGAGGAAAAAAAAAAAGGACTGAAAACACTTAAGCCTGTAGCTAAAAATAGGGAAGCCCCCAAGACACAGTGTCTACCTACAAGATACATGATTGATGAAGTATCTAAAGGGAGCCAAAACAAGCAAAAAAATGATGCTGCACAGCCTGATGAGAATTACAATAAAAAAATAACAAACTAGGACTCTTCTCGTTCAGTAGTAGGATACATCTCACACAATAAGGTACTTAATCCAGCATTGTGGAACAGACCTGGCGCTTATGCCTCTGACTACGATCCCGCAATTTTTCACAAACTAATTTTAGATCACAAGTGACATTGAACAAGTCCTCAGCATCAGGATGAAATTCATGAAATATGCTTTTTTCACTTATTCCCAGCTTAAGATCTGAAAATAAAACAAGATGTAATAAATAGAGTTATCCCTAATAATATCAGTGAATGATCATATCAGGCAGAGATTACTGAGAACAAACCATTGAGATGAGATCCTTCCGAATGGGCTAAGAAAATGTATATCAGTGAATGATCATATCATGCAGAGATTACTGAGCACAAACCTTTCAGAATTATCATGATGATCCACTTCATTTCTTGGGCATTAGTTTTCCTGATCAAATCAGAAAGGATAGAAATCTTCTCTGGCCTGTACCAAGAATGATCCAGAATTAATTCATGATGCACATCACACGGAATACCTTCAGCCACAAGTTTCTTAATTCTATCTGGTCTCTCAAATTGAGAAAAGCATCCATAGAGCTGATTATACAAGTTCATCGTGGTAATTCATGGATGGAAAAATTTACATATTGTCATATTAGCATGTTCATAGAAGAATAACTAATTCATGGGAACTGAGAGATATAACATCAACAACAAGCTCATGCGTAATGCAAAAGTCAAATCATTACTATTGTTCCAATATGTTTCACAAACAGAAGATGACTTTATCTTACAAAAGACATAAAAGAGAGGGAAATGAAAAGGAAAGAAAGAGTTTACCTATTTTCACTAGAAGCCAATCGATCAAGTAAATCATTTAATTCTTTTATAGTTAAGTTCCCTGAAGTCATAGCCTGCCTCCGCTGTAGCACCTGCCACCATATGCAAGAGCCCAAGTCTTATACTGGTAAATAAAAATTAAAACCAACATTAAAGCTACTTAAAGCTTTCTACACAGGTGCACAAAATCAATCAAACATACAAAACCATACAACTTAGCAAACGTATAAATGAATTAATGAAAAAATAAAAGAAGAGCTGAATTTGGAATCAAACCAAATCCTAACACTAGTAAGCTAGTGAAATTGGAACACATCACCTATTTAACAGCTAGTCTTTTACTTATATTCAGCATTGGACTTAGCCAGATTAAGAAAAAACCCATGCATAATTTGTCAGGATGGAGGAAAACATTAAAAAAGATTGACCAAGGTTAAACCTTTCTCCTCAACCATATGATATGTAAAAGAGGTGGAATAGAAAAAGAAACTCAATGGAGTTTAATTATTCAAAAGGAAGAGGAAAAAAGGAAACAAATGAAATACTATGATCAGCAACATTTCAGTATCGTGTTAGTTTACATACAAAAATTTTTCATTTTATCCCCAGTAGCTTTTCAAGAACATCAGTTCTTCCGTGCTAAGAATAGTCTCATTAATTGGAGATAATCATAGTATTGATAATCACTGAAGCAACTGGCAATTGGAATTTACATATAGTATACGCCTGAGCTAGCCAATGAAAAAGACCCAAATTGTAAATAAGTAACTCAACGAGATGAAATTATTCACGTTTAGTCATCCAGAAGTTAAAAGTTTACAGGCGCCGATTCATAATCAACAGGATGCTTCTCGGGACTAATACCGCAGAAATCATAGAACCCAATAACAAGAAAGGATCAACGAAATGAAAAACACCTCGGCGGCAACGAGAGAGAAGTTCCCGGCGAAGTTACCAGACTTGGGCCCGCCCTTGCGCCAGTTGAGGAGGCGCTGAGAGTCAGGGGAGTCGCGAGACATGCCGAGGGCGTCTATGAGGCACGTGGCCAGAATGTGCTCGCGCAGTCCGTACGATCCCCGCTCGCGGTCGAGGCTGGGTAGGATCAAGCGGATGGCCGAGAAGTAGTCGTCGCCGTTCTTGGGGCGGCAGAAGGTGTCAAGAAACTTCCGGAATTTGGAACGCTTGACGGAGGAAGACTTGCTCTTCTGCATCCAGTTGAACAGGCTCACCATCACGCTGAACTTTGTCTCCGACATGTTGGGGATTTGTTGCGGTGGTTGTCGGTGGCGGAAAGGGCGAACCGAAGTGGACAACTGCTACTGATTTGTAAATGGCGAGTTATTAAATAGAGGCAGTGTAAAAAGAAAATTAAAATAAAATAAAAATAATAGNGACTTGGGCTGACAGGTCCCTAGGTGTACAATCTGCACCACAAAAGTGGGTCAAAGCGTAACAAACAAAAATATACTAGTGAAACTGAATGAGGGGTAGCCTAACTAGTCCATCTGCACTATAAAATATGTACGTAGGCGGATTGGGGCGCCGTCAATCTGGAGTGTGCTACTCTCTAGAATGGTGGCTCCGAGGGTGGCCAGAAAATCAGCAAGTCGGTTCCCCTCGTGGAAGATGTTCTGATGACGAACCGACTAAAGTGTATCTTTGATTCGTATGAGCGGATGCTGAATCTGCCACGAGCCCAGTGGTCTAAAGTCAAGAGGGTAGCGATAACAGTAGTATCCAGCTCAATCCAAATGTAAGTAGTGATAGAGGCTGCAATATGGAGACCGATCTGGAGCGTCTATAGTCTGAACCTCTGCGTCGTAGCTCGAGGAGGCCTGAAAGGGAGCGTGGAAGGCGGCAAGGAGAGATCCGTTGTGCTCCTAATCAAGCCCCCTCATCTGGCAGCTCCAGTGAGTCGGTCGAAAGATCCATCGGTGTTCAGGTTAACCCAATGGGGGTCGGGTCTCAGCCAAACAATGGCTCTGGGATGGGTGTGCTAGACATGCGGCAGCGGTGTCGGCACGAAGTGGTGAGATGGCGTGTAGCCTGTCCAGTCTCTAGACGTGAATCTGCCTAGAGCTGTCAGGAGAGAGATATGACGATCAACCTACAAAACAATGTGAGAAGACATAAAAATAATACCTCTATGCTTCGCACTATTCCTCTCTGTCTAGATGAACCAAAGGATCAGACAAGGAATGAGGAAGCCCACGTGTCTAATGTGTGTGTGTTGTGAGAAAAAAACTTAGGAGCACAAAGAAACTCTATGTGGTTGGATGTTTTTTTTATCTTTCTAGAGTGTATAGTTTCTACGTGTGGAACTTGTCCATAGGGTTAGGTTTTTCTTTCTCATTTCTATATGCTTTTATTGGTTATTATTCACATGTAGGCATACATTTCATCTGCATCTTTTTTTTTTCCCCCCTTTATTTTTGTTGTCTATTTTTATGTCATCCCTTTCTTTGTTCCGTACTTCCGTTCCAATATGTGGGTTCCGTCCCAATTATATCCTTAATTATCTCATTTTCTTTTAGTATCCATTTAATCATTCCTTAATCATAATATCTCATTCTTTAGTTACCCTCTTTAACTATTAGGAAATAATATATTAAGTTAATTACTTAATTTGGATTAGGTTGTATTAATTGTCTTAATAATTATAAGATTACTAATGTTAATTATAACTTAAATAATTTCTCTTATGATTAATCCGATTTAGTTTATGCTAAAAAATAAGTAAAAATCGAGCTTTGACTTACTTAGAAAGAACGGGGAGCTACAACCAGAGCAAAACAGGAGCCGGGGAAAACCAATGAACCAGCCCGAACCCCAACCACCTGCCTCAGTCGGCCGTCGAGATCCGCCGTCAATAAACAACCCGGAAACCCGTCGGGCCCCTTGCCGCCATGGCCATCAGTAACTAAGGCGATCTAGGCAGAGTAAACCAGCGACTCACCGAAGAGCTTGCAAGCGGCGCTGAAATCGCCCCCAGACATCGGACCCACCTAGAAGAGGAGGGTCGCCGCTCAATCCCACCCACCGCAATGGCGGCCTTCACTGTCGGCAACCGCAACTCAGCGGAAAGAAGCCAGAGAGACCCGAAGTCTGATCGGCCGCCCACAGCAGGAGGAGACCCCTCAGACCTAGAATCCGAAAACTATACGTCGAAACACATCCATCCTATGTGAGGGACGAAGCCGCACGGCTATCAAGTCTCGTCAGAGGAGAGGCCCAGAAAAAATATGTCATGGACTCAAAGAAAGATGAGGTCCTGAACATAAATGAAAGGAAAGGTTTGGCAAAAGAGACGGCTGAGATCGGAAATGTGGACAGAATTTCACCGGTCAAGCATTTGGAAGAAAATGAAGAAATGATGCTGCCGATATCAAGTGATGAAGACGAAGGAAAAAGGGGTTGAGTCCAAAGGTTTTGGGCTGGTTATTAATTAATGTTTTTGGGCCACCTGTTGGGCTTTTATTATTATCAGATTTATTATTGTGTTTAGTTTTAAGGTTCAGCATATGTAGTGTAAGTGGGACCAGTTTGTTACTATATTTACCTACGGGTGAAATGAAGAAAGGGAATTTGGAAGTCATAACTAAATATTCCCCCTTTTATTCTCTCTCTCTCTCTATCTCTATTGTATCTATCACCTTCTCCAACTCTATCTAAGAATTCACAGTAAATTCAAGCTTATCAATGTCAGATTTATATTAATATTACAAGTTTGTAACATTTGGTATCAGAGCCAATAGCCTACATGAGCAAAATGTTGTGTCCTAAAAACCAAGCTCTCTCCATCTATGAGAGAGAGTTTCTTGATGTTCTCATGGCAGTACAAAGGTGGAGATACTACCTACAAGGACACAAATTCTTCATCAAGACTGATCAGCAAGCACTGAGGCACCTCTTAGACCAGAAGCTTGTTTCCCCAGTCCAACAGAAGTGGATAACTAAATTGCTAGGGCTGGATTATGAGATCATGTACAAAAAGGGTTCTGATAACAAGGCTGCAGATGCATTATCTAGAAGAGGAGAGGACAGTTCACTGTGTTTGGCCCTTACTACTGTTGTACCTCTTTGGGTCCAGGAGGTTAAAGAAAGTTATAGACAAGACCCTTTCTTTACTAAGATACTCACAGCCATAATCATTAAGGCTGATTCCTACCCACATTTCACTGCTCAGGATGGTTTGCTCAGATACAAGGGAAGGTTGTGTGTGGGCAGTGATAAGGGGTTGAGGAGCAACATCCTCTCGGTTATGCACAACTCCTCTTATGGGGGCCATTCAGGCATCTATGGCACATACATGAGATTGAAGGGGGTGTTCTACTGGCCTAAAATGAAAACTGATGTGATTGATTTGGTGCAAAGCTGTGACACCTGCAAAATGTGCAAATCAGATTCTAACACCTACCCAGGACTCCTACAACCTTTACCCATTCCAGACCAAGCATGGACCCACATCACAATGGACTTCATTGAGGGGCTGCCCAAATCAGGAGGAAAGAATGTCATATTGGTGATCATTGACAGATTCACCAAGTATGCTCATTTCATACCCCTATCACATCCATTTACAGCCTCAACTATTGCTAAACTTTTCTTAGACACCATATACAAGCTGCATGGTTTACCTGTGAGCATGGTGACAGACAGGGACAAGATCTTTACTAGTCAATTTTGGAAGGAACTTTTCAAATTAATGGGTGTGAACCTGAACTTTTCATCAGCCTACCACCCACAAACCGATGGGCAATCTGAGAGGCTAAACCAATGTCTGGAGAACTACCTACGGGGAATGGTTCACTCTAACCCTAGACAGTGGATTAAGTGGCTGTCATTGGCTGAGTTTTGGTATAACACCAATTTCCACTCGAGCCTCAAGCTCACTCCTTTCCAAGCTTTGTATGGCTACCCTCCCCCTAACTTTGCTATTGGGCCCTACCTAGATTCTACCAACACAGATGCAAAAGATTTCATACAACAAAGGCAAGCAATGACACAACAAATCAAGGAAAACCTACAAAATGCACAGGCGAGGATGAAACTTTTTGCAGATAGGAAGAGACATGACAAGCAATTTCGAGTTGGAGAGCAAGTTTTCCTAAAGCTACAACCTTTCAGGTAAAACTCAGTATCTCTGAGGAAAAGTGTCAAACTTGCAGCTAAATTTTATGGGCCCTATACTATACTTGAGAAAATTGGTGAAGTGGCTTACCGACTAGATCTTCCAGAAGGTTCCCGCATTCACCCGGTGTTCCATGTATCCGTTCTGAAGAGTCGAGTCAAACCACACCAGCCGGTCTCCTTGCAGTTACCTGCCACAAACGAAGACGGCGAGGTGAAAATTGCTCCTGTGGAAATCGCAGGAAAAAGGTACATAACAAGGCAAGGGCAGCAAATTACTCAACTTTCGGTGATTTGGACAGAGCTCAGCCCAGATCTCGTCACCTGGGAGGATGAATCCTACTTGCTGAAAAAAGTTCCGATCTTGGATCCTTGCGGTCAAGGATCTAAAATTGCGGCGGGTATTGTCATGGACTCAAAGAAAGATGAGGTCCTGAACATAAATGAAAGGAAAGGTTTGGCAAAAGAGACGGCTGAGATCGGAAATGTGGACAGAATTTCACCGGTCAAGCATGTGGAAGAAAATGAAGAAATGATGATGCCGATATCAAGTGATGAAGACGAAGGAAAAAGGGGTTGAGTCCAAAGGTTTTGGGCTGGTTATTAATTAATGTTTTTGGGCCACCTGTTGGGCTTTTATTATTATCAGATTTATTATTGTGTTTAGTTTTAAGGTTCAACATATGTAGTGTAAGTGGGACCAGTTTGTTACTATATTTACCTACGGGTGAAATGAAGAAAGGGAATTTGGAAGTCATAACTAAATATTCCCCCTTTTATTCTCTCTCTCTCTCTCTCTCTCTATTGTATCTATCACCTTCTCCAACTCTATCTAAGAATTCACAGTAAATTCAAGCTTATCAATGTCAGATTTATATTAATATTACAAGTTTGTAACAAAATAATAATAATAATAATAAGAAATAAAAAAGATACAAAAAAAAAATTAAAAAAAAAGTTTACTGAAAGAGGAGAGAAAAAGGGATTGGGAATAGAGGAGAGAGAAAGGGTAAGACTATTGGTCAAATTGCATTTTTTTTTAAATTGCAAGTTATCCTATTCTTTCCAAGGTTGCTAAGGATATACATGATTTTCCTAGTTCAACCGTTGCTAGTGAAAATGCTTTTAGCCTTGGAGGAAGGACTGTGGATCCATTTAGAGCTTCTTTGATGCCTAGGATTGTCAAGACCTTAGTTTGCACTAGTGATTGGCTTAGAAGAGAGGATTTTCAATTTCACAAGGAGCCTGGAACAAGTAATTAACTATTTTGTCAATATTTTGGTATTTATATTGCGCATGAAATATTTTTTTGGTTATTGACTTATTTGAAATATATATAGGTATGCCCAATATAAATAAATGTCACCACCTCAAGCTAAAAATGTAAATCCACCCGTGTCCCCAATCAATAGACTACCACCTCGTCCATCAGCATTATTGTTGCATGTTATTGCTTATTGTTGTCTGTTATTGTTGGGTTGTTGAACTTGGAATTCTTATGCATCAGCAATTCAGCATTACTAGTGTAATAATGTTAGTTTTCGACATGTTGTATTATTTCTTATGCATTACTGGTAGATGACTCGTGGCAGGATGTTAGAACTTAAAAATTAGAACAAACATGTTGTTTGTATATTTTGTATTAGTTCTTTAGCTCCAGTACCTACCAGACATGTTATATAGTTTTTTGGTTCAATAAATCGGTATAAAACTGAAATAGAATTGTGTTTTCGGTTACGAAAAATTCAGTAACTGACTACAAGTTGGTTCAGTTTCAATTTTACATTTCATTATTAACAAAATTGTCGGTTCCGTATCAGTAATCCCATATTGGTTCGGTTGCCGAACTGAACCCACGACCTCGGGCGTGACCCTTATATCGAGCTCGGATATCTCATCATCTTCTCTTTTATAGCAGCACTATGTTCCTTTCTTAGGTCGCTTAGCCTTTTCTGCATGTCATGATTGTGGAGGGTGGGCATTTCGTTCTCTTTCTGATCCTTCTCGAGTTCACGTTTGATCTCATCTACGGAGGGGACGAGCTACTCAATCCCTTGTGAAACATGGGGACCACAACGGATAGAAACTGCAAGAAACACATAATTAGGGGAACAAGTTCACTATAGATGGCATCATCATAAGCACTAAATAATACTTTCACAGGCGAGAGCGATGGCTCTCTATTCTATCTCCCATTTTGGATTATCCTCCGAGTGATAGGTCTCCTCCTCAGGCAGGAGTGATGTAACGCCCCGAATATTTTTAGTATTTATAGAGCTCGACTTTATTTCCATAAATAGCAAAATTTTTTTAATGCATTTATTTATTATATTTGCATTAAATCAAGTATTTAATTCTAGTCTAAGTGAGGGAGAATTTATTCGATTTTTAATTTTAAAAAAATTGAATTTAGTTAGCCCAAATATCGATTTTATTTTTTTTAAAATGAAACCGAGCTTTGGAGAAATTAGAATTTTATTTAAGTTTGGCCGAAACCCGAACGAGCCAAATCTTGATCCAATTATGTTTCGAGCAAGTCCATACCATCCAGCCTATTTTATTTCGGCCCAATCATTTTTCGAGTAGGCCCAATTATTTAACTCGGCCCAATCATCCGTCATTTTATAATTCGAGCCCACCAATTATTTTATCTATTCGTCCCGATTATTTTAGTCGAAGTCCCGTTACATTTTAATTTGCCCGAACATTTAATTTACTAAGCCCAAGTCAATTTTCGGTCAAAGCCCAAGTCCATTTCCACACACAAACCCTAGCTCCCTCTCTCACCTATAAATACAAAACCATCTTCATCCATTAGCACACCATCTTCATCTCCTAGCACACTCAAACCCTAGATCTAGAAACTCATCTTCATTTCCTCTTCCATTTCAAGATCTAGAAATATTAAGAGGAAAAAAAGTTATCATCTCTTAGCCTTAGCAACTCAAAACCGAGGAAAATCCAGCCACCTTTCCGTTTTCTGGCGAGTCATAGCCGTTTTCCGTCGAACCCATGCCGGCAGCTCGATCCCAGGTCCAGCCGTCCCAGCTCAGCTCGATTTCAGCGCGCCCAGGCCTAGTCCGACCCCAGCCAGCTCGCGTCCAGCTCCACTCTAGTAGCACCTCGTCGTCCAGCACTGCTCGACGTCTGTACGTCGCGTCACAACCCTTAGCCCGTACCTCTGCATGGCCCAGCGACGTCTCCCAGCGGCCAGCTTCCGTACGCACACAACCCAGCTCGCCTCGCGTCCGTACGCCACGCGTCCACCACCTCCCACGACCGTACGCCCTTCTCCACAGCAGATCTCTACCGTACGCACCCCTTCGGCCTCGCGTCCGTACACCCGAGTCAGCCCAGCACCAGATCCGGCCAGACCCAAGCAGCCTAGCCCGATTCCAACCCTAACATTTTCTATATTATTTATTTGGGTCCTTCAAGAGGTATATTGGCTGAAACATTACTCCATGAGCTTAGACATGATTTATAGTTTATTTTCAAAATGAGAAATGGTGAATTTGAGAGGTATATGAATTTATCTAGATTTATTGATTTTAATGGCTATAAATTCGTATTAAATTGTGTACTGATCCAAAAATTCTGATTCCAACTCTATAAATATATTTAAATTGTCTTGAGGCGTAGGTTTAATTTTGTGATTTTTGGAGTTTGTTTGCTATGCGAACCGATTTTGTGGATCTATGCCCGAAATGCTTGATTTTAGTTGGATGAGTTAAAGGTTGATTCTTGCTGCGATCGATTTACCAAAAATCATATATACGTTGAAGTTGTTGGGATTAAAATTTTGTGATTTTGGGAGATAGTTTGATATAGTTTAAAAATCAGGACTTTAGCCTTAATTTTGTGGTATTTTTAGAAATTATTCCGATTGTGATTTAGCTGAAGTTGTTGGATGTAAATTCCGTATAAATCATGTTGAACTTAGGATTAAAGTTTCGACTTAAACTGAGTTAGGTTGATTGGAGAAATAGAACTCTAGTTTCGCCTGTTTCTGAACACCGTGTAATTTTTAAATCTGAGCGTTATCGCCCGAACCCTAGTACCGTATAAATGACTTTAGACGTCATAAGATAATTAATGAGTCCTTCGTTTGTCGAGATGTGGTCGGTTGGCCGGTGAGTCGCCGGCGAGACTATAATCGAGCCTAAGAAGGCTAACGAGGCCGTGTGCCTCGTAGGGAGCGTAACCAATCAACCGACGTGCATTAGCACGTATCCTCAATGCGTATCGCCGTCACGTGTTCCACTCTCGTCCCATCGTTGGAGTCGAGCCACTGAGTGCGTGACCGTGCACCGAGTCCGACCGAGCCGCGCCCCTACGCTCTGCTCAACGCTCGTGCGTCCGTCCGACCTACCCGTCAACGCGCCGTTTTCATTAGCCGTGGTCCAAGAACCCCCTGCGTCGGTGACCGTGGCACCGTTTAAAGCACGTGCGTCGGCAAAGTCGTGTCAGCCGTGTTTGTGCGTGCCCGTGAGTTGCTATGTCGTACCCGAACCACGGTTGAGCCGAGCTACACATGGCCAGTGAGTAATCGGTCAGTTTCGAGTGAGGCGCCGGTCCAGTCCAGCCGAGCCGGTCCGGTCAGTCTGGACGGTTTAAGACGTTTCCAGTTCAACTGAGTCAGTCCGGGCAGTCTGGAAAGTTTGTCAGTTTTTAGTTCGGAACATCAGTTTGAGCGTGAACCGGGATTTCAGTATTTCTTGAACCAAGTCAGATTAAGATCCAGTCAGAATATAGTTCCAAACTTAGTAATATTTCAGAAAACTCTAGTAATGCCTCAAGACAATAAATTTTCAAATTAGCTCGTAAATTTTCTGAAATGAGTTTTAAATGATTTTAAAACCGAGTGAACGAACCTAGTAAGATCAGATAATAAGATTTAAGTTTTTCAGATTGAGCATAGTACTTATAATATTTTGCTCAAATATTTTGTAGCTTGAGGAGAGTCGAGCCTCCCCCTGCTACACATTTATTCCAGCATTTGCATTGTACCATCTTCCAGGTGGGGACCCTGTACTGGGTGCTACATTTTCTGTAATCGCATTATCCTGGTTGAGGTATGTATATAAGAGTTAGTTTGCCTGATTAGAGGCAATAACTTACCGAGTAGGTCCTTTCAAGCTTAGTGATTCGAACGCTAGTTAAAATGAGATATGAACTCTAGTACAAATTTTGAGTTAAGTGAATTAAGAACCTTAGTACAACTTTGAGTTAAGTTGTAATTCTAGGTGGTGTTAGAATATAGCTTCCCCAAGGGGCATTGACCTAGAGATAGGTTTCTTTATAGCAAAGTGTCCTTCTCGTAAGTCGAACAGCAGTTATAGACAGTCAATTGAGCAGCAGTTATAGACAGTAAGTTAAGCAACAGTCATAGACAATTTACTTATTTATATGCCTATGGTGATGTGTTTATCATATTAGATGTATGCTTAGGTTGTGATGTGATGTGTGTTTAGTTCGCGATGCGTTAGTATAATGTTTATTATCGTATCGTTTCTGCCAAATCTAGTAAGTACTTGCATATATGGTGATGTCATGATATGTTATTACATTAGATGTGTAGTCAATGATGGTTCCGGCGGAACACGTAAATTTTTATGCTCACTCCCCCCACTAACCATTTTCAGGTGACGGAGTCCCGCCTGGCGCGTGAGCTGGATATGTGGTGGTGGTCAAAGTTTTATGATAATTGGGAAAGCATGTCATGTAGTATATTGAACATGTATGGATTAATTATGTATGTTTGCAATTTTGTACTATTATTTGCTTCCGCATTTCAGACTTATATTTCAGATTTCATAATTTTAGACTATGCATGTTTAAATCCAGTATTCTTCATGGCGCATCATTAAAGTAATGAACTTTACTTGATCGCATGCATAATAGTTTAAAGAGATAAAGAGATATAGTTAGCAGTGAGTAGCCCGCAAGATAAAGAGTTTTTCGAAAAAGTTAATATGAGTTTTTTGAAAATTAAATCAATGTGTTCAAATTAAATAGCACGAAAAATTTACTTTGATTTTAGAAATAGTAAACGGGGTGTTTCAACTGACATCAAGTAGGTCTCAATAGTGGTGGCATTCTAATCGACAACAAGAGTGTCTCGCATCTTGACCTCTACCATGTATCCTTTGCCGCACTTGGAAGTATTTTTCATGGAGGACGCTGGTCGCATCAAGCTACGAGCGATGGGGGCAGTGGGCTTGGACGATTTGGGCAGAGGTTTGATCAGCGAAAATCCAAGCAGAGTTTCAGCTGTCCTATCACCAGCAAAGCTCAAGAGAACCTTGCCTTTCCCTGAGGACTTCAACGAGGCGAATAGCGAATATGCGTAAAGTAAAAAGAATTAGCCACCGTTCAAGTAAGTGGACTAAAATAAACAAGGTTGATAAAATGAGTTGGCCCTAAGTATTTGGAAGAGTCAAGCTGGAGGTTAGGTTGTAATGCAAGAAATATCAAATTTAACGACATCTTGTTCCATGATGTAATGAGTTCGTCCCATTTAGCATTATGTTTGGGTTTTGTATGTCAGTTATATAGCTTGGTTAACCAATGATACGAGAAGGGAAAGGATAATAAGGTCGTACGCAGAAGAAATGGGTCTTCTTAGAGGAAACGTTGAAAAGCAGGTCTCTCAAAAAATTGGTGTGGTTGAGGGTTGTTAGATAGGTGTCCCCTTCTGGAACTTCATTGCAAAGGAATACCTAACGAATTCAGTTTAGAAGCTCCCTGATCTCCAACGGCTAAGGATGGAGAAGCCGACCATTATCCTAATGGAGTTTAGAGAAAGTTGGTTCACAGGTATGTCATATATGCTCACTAAGTAGGTAAGGTCCTCAATGAGGGAAATACAAAGGCCGATATCTATCTGGCGCAAAAAAAGGTGTAGAAGTGTTCCAAAAGTGAATCATAAGAATAAAAAAAAATGTGGGATTTACATATCCCAAGAGTTGGGAAGTTCGAATAAAATTATAAAATAAGTTATGTAGTCGGGATCAGCGTAGAAGAAAGGGATCAATTTCTTAGTGGCCATGACGGCGAAGATTGAAATGTCGAGCTTGTCACGAATTAGAGAAACGAGGTTAGGGGTAAGGTCTGGTAGGGTAACGATACGTGAAGGTTTGGGACAAACAGGGACTCCCTGTTGAAAGAGGATAGGTGATGAAGAAGGATCGGAGAACACTGCAGCAAGATCATCCTAGTCTATCACCTTATCGAATTCATCGACAAGGTGCCTAGGTCGAAGAGAATTGTGGCTGGTTAGGTTTTCACCTATAATTTGTACAGAGGAGATAGAAAAATAAGAATAAAAATAAGTGAAAAACATTAATACATAGGATAAAAATGAGAACGTGATTATGATAGTAGGGTTACATTCTTAGCAATATAAACACTTGGTAGTGTGAGAGAACTTACTCATTGAATGGTGCTTGAGTTTTCCAGCGAGCATGGGTTGTTTTGACTGGAAGAGGGAATTGCATAAATGCTTGAATGACAATTGTAGCAGGTGAAGCTTTGACAATGAGGTTGAGGTGATATTTATACCGAAATTAGACATGGGGTTAGTACAAAGATTGTACGAGGTAAAGACATCCAATGAAGTTTATGTGGACAGTTTAGAATGAAAGGAGTGATTGATAGTGAGGGATTCGAGTCGTTTTTTAAAACATTTTCGAGGGTGTCAGAGGCACTACTTTTGAAGCGAGCATAGTAAACCCAAGTAGGTACTTGTAATACTCTTAGAGCTAGCAGCTCACGCAAATAAAAACAACTCATGTGGACCGAGGTTAGATTGCTAGAATGGAGTTCAAGTTGGAAGAAGCTCATCAAAGCTCGAAAGAGGTCAAGACAAGGTTGGGTTAGGATCCATCAAGGCCAGATTGAGTTAGGATCCTTAGATGATCTGTACAACTCTCGACTTGTCTAAGGAGACCAATGAAGGGAAAGAAAAAAACAAGATGGGCCGACCGAAAATTAGTTAGTGTTGTTGGGAAAGTCGAGACGTACGTGTAAAGGATTCTCACAAATCTCTAAATATCTTAACAAATCTGACTACTAGGTTAACAAAGTAATCAATATAAATAACAAAAGGACATGTATGAAAACCCTAACACACAATACCAATACTCAGTCTACATGCATTAGACTCCTCTAATGAGTCTACATGCATTAGACTCCGCTAATGAGGCTCTGACTCAAGTGTCGGAGACTTTAAGCTGAGACACCTCCCAAAACAGCTAACAAAAGCAGTCTAAAGGACGATACAAGCATCGTTGAACCGGATATAGGTGTTTATACACATCAAGTACTTAATAAGAAATCGAGCGGAAGGTCATCCAATGTCGTTGTACACAAGTTGAAGGATAGGCCCCCATAAAATGCAAAGAGAAAATTAACTTATTTTGTTTTAAGTTTGGTAAGGAACTGAAATCCACAACCCCTAATTCAATTAAAGCACTTAATACCATGTGCGGAACAAACTAAAATGCCATGATTTCGTATAGCTTAGCTTAAATATTGAACTAAAGCAGCATCACCAAAATCAAATACAAACTACAGACACAGCTAATGCCTCTCCATGATCAATCTGCAGATTTTGTGCACGCATGAGGAAAGAGGGGCACATTTGACCTCATGGAGAGGAGGTCGAGCCTACCAAATTATAGCCTAGTATAGCTGTTATATCCCCCAATGCCTGACGAACCATAGCCCCCATAAGGTTGCTGCCCTGAAAATGTCGAGGATGGGTAGGAGCTGCTGCCTAACTGTGAGTAAGACGACCTCAAACTCGACTCCAGCTTGCTGTAACTGCCCAGAAGAGGATCTCTGTGTCCACCAATGAAGTCCTGGAATAATATGAATAATGTGTATCAGTTATTCAACTTTTCTCACTTTAAACAAATCTTCCACCTATTATACACGACTGCCATTGCAAAAGCTGAGAGAGCTGATAAGGGGTGTACTTAGTACACTAGTAGTAACATATAGCAATTATTGAGGGAATAATTGGTTGATAGGATTTTACGATAACTAGGGAAATTATTAGTTGGCAAGACCATAACATACCTGCATACGTAATAGATCGGAAACTTGTTATATAAAATCAAGGGACTAAAATAAAGATGCTTCTTCTACCAGTTCTAGTGATTTCTATTATTTTAGATTAGCGTCAATACAAACTCAATTTCATTGTCAATACTACTTTTATGCTCTTTAGTCTTTAGTATTCATTTAGTCAAAACCATCCCCGCGGTTTGGTTTAATAACAAAATCCCCAGTTCTCATTCAAAATTACAATTGCCCCCTTGGTCTTAGTTTCTTCTTTACAAATTACACCTCAGCTGTAGGTATTTCTCAGGCAAATACAAAGTCCATGCAACACTTTAAAGCCATTTACTGTAATTTAGGAAGAGAAAGGTCCTTGTAAGTTACAACAAAGCTGAACCTCAGGCAATACTTACAGTTATCTACCTCAGTATCCCACACACTACTTGATTATTTTTAATCTCAGCATTAAGACAACACACAATTCTCTTCCTCAATGCAGTGAGATAAGTGCAACAACTGAATAATCGCCTTAATGGCAACACACAGGTTTCAAAGAGTGAAATAAAACATTGAACTTGAGGGAGCATGCCAGAATCGATAAGATAAGCTGTTAATCATACATAGATCATCACAAAGGCTACCTGAATAAGTTGCTGAGCGGCTTGAACTTGCGAGGAGGTCCCTTTAATTTCCACAGTAATTTCCTCTGGTAGGCCTCGACTCTCTTCCACAGTAAGAATGGCACCACTCGTACGCCGAATGTAATCAATGTTAGTTCCTTGAACCCCTATAATATCCTCCGCATATGCAAGAGGTATTTGCATAGTCTGGGCAATCTGCACAAGGCAATTAACCTCATATATTGACTAGCATGCTCATCAAAATAGATATATATATATATATATAATAAAAAAAAAAAAAAAAAAAAAAAAA